GCAAGTCAAGGACCTGAACATAAGCAGAGGGATTTTGTTCCTCCTCTCCCACCAAAGCAGGCTCCTGCACCACATACTACTGTATATCGCTTTTGAAACTCTCCTAGGTTTCAAGGGTGACTTACATTCTAGGATGGGGTTGCTGAATCAAGTAACTAACGCTCTGCATGGACATCTATTATCAGCAATGTAACATGAAAACTGCAACAAGCAAGTCCAAAACATGTTTAATTTGTTTCCAGCTTGCTTAGGCTGCTGTTCTGTACACACATACCTGGGAGTTCGTTCCATTAAAAGCAGCAGAGGTAACTTCTTAATAGAAGTGCATAGACTTTCACTGCTAGTTCCTAGTAAATTGCTCTGGAACTGCACAGCAGAAGAGTCAGAGAAGCACACTCTGGCCTCTATCCCTGCAGTCAGCAGACAAAATTAAGGTTACCAGAAGTCCCCATTTCCCGAGGACAGTCCCCAGATTTACAAATCAGTCCCCATACAAAATCCATTGAAGTTGAAAAGTGTCCCTGGATTCATTGAAAAAAACCTTAGACAAAATGCCACTGGGGGTTGTACCAAGAACATCACAACCAGGGGAAGACCAGAGTAGAAGGTCTATCAAAGCAGTTGCCATAAGCTTGCTCCCACCCCAGCACCTGCCAGAAAAGACACTTGGTTTTCACTACCAGTTGTCTTCAGACTTCAGAACAGAAGGGAATGGCACACTTATCTCTGCCAGTATCCAGAGGAACAAGCGCAGTTGGGTCACTTGCAGTAGCTCTGTTTGAGAAAGACCACCAGCAAGGGAGGATCAGCCTGACCCCAACAGGATATAAATGCCTGTTTTACAGCTCAACACATTGTTCGCTATCCTTGTCCCCACTGACCTCCCTCTTCGTCTCCCTTCCATTCCCCATGCTGTGCTTTGTCCTTTTAAAAGTTTATATGCCTCTTTGTTGCTGGGCAAGTCACTTTGGGAGACACTTTGGGAGATTTGTCTGAAAAGTGGGATTAAATGTGGAATATGAGAAATAAGTCAGGGAGCATAGGCATCGCAACTCCTAAGGTTTTTTTCCCCAATTTATATTTTGAGGATCTGTCTTGTGAGTAGGATTTTATTCCCTACTCTCATTTGCATTTGCTTCTCTTAGGAGGGTAAAAAGCAGAGTCATCCATTTATCACTACACATGCCTAAAAGTGCAGCAGACAGACAATAACCAGGGCCAACAAAAAACATCTAGTTTTGTTATTTTAAGAAAGAACATCTTCTGAATGTCAGCTATCCACATCTCAATGCAACATTGCTACCACTGAACAGTTAGATCTTCTCAAGAGCTTAATGTAAAAAGCCCTCTAGCCAGATCATAAACACCACTTCACAGCAGAGCATAGGATCCAGTAATCGATTCCCAGTATCAGGGAGAGAAGCCTCAGCCCTTTGACCCAAGGCTGAGACCTCGCCATTACCGCTGCACTGAAACTGAGGGCCATTTCTGCCTATTTCCAGGGAAGCTCTTGCATCATGGAGGTGTGTCACAACAAAGAACAGTAGGAGACCAGGAAGGTGCACAAAAGCAGGCCAAGTAATTGACAACCCTGCATTCCTCATCCCAAGGGTTCCTGGTCTAGTTCTAGGGGTATTGCACAGCTCCCAAATATTTTCCTAAGTGCACAGTGTGTTTATGGATGGATAATAAATTACTTTTGGGACCTTTGGACTGCAATAAAGAATTGATTGATTGGTAATAAATTCAGGGGGAATTGAAATGGGGCATAATCTAGGTTACTAATCTGGGTTAATAGGTGAGTGAGGAAGATTAATATGCTGTTATCTAGAGATGCTTTGGGAGTAAACAAAGGGAAACTGAATTGATTTAGAGAGCAAGACCTGTTGCAGTAAATGAGCTGGAGGGGAACTGATTTTGGATGTTCTAGGCAGGAGTGCAAACTAACTGAAGAATTTATCTGTGAGATTTGGATGGGAAATGAGTTGGTTTTCATTCTGTGAGATTTAAATTTAAAACTTGAGTCCACAAATTAGCATATGCAAATTTGTGTCTATGGGTCCTCACTTTCAACTCCTTTTAAGTACAAGACAACACCTCTGACCAGCCTTCTCATGCCAGGGTTCCATGATGGAAGAATGGTGTAATATAAATGGGGGGGAATAATAATCTAGAGAGACAGATACACTTTTCTGAAAAGAAACAAGTGGGCAGCAGTGTAAAATTTGCAGTTGTGATGTTCTGGGAGTAGAATCTCTTGACCCTGACATACAAGAGCAAAACTTTTGTGTTGAGAAGTAAGTCTAAGGACTTATTTTTCATTTTTACATGATGCAGGATAAAAATGCCCATTATTTATATAACCTTTTCTGAAAGTTCAAAACACTTCATGGATGTAGTGCTTAATGGAATGTTTTTGTATATAATGTAAATGGCACTGGAGTTGAAGCCTGAAGTGAGAGGAGGAGTTTAATGTGTTCACTTCCTGCTAGGATCCCAATTTTAATCACTTCTCCAAAGCTACTACCATACTTGCATTTCCTTTTTTTAAAAAAATAATTTTTATTAACAGGCCAATCACATCACATTATCCAAATCACATTAGTTCCAAATTATACAGCCAAATTTTAAATTTTGTTGGGGGTACCCATACATCAAGCTCCGAACGAGTCCAAAACTCTGAACGAGTCCAAACATCACTTATATTACTGCTTTAATTAAACAGTTCTATCCAGTTCAATCCAGATAGTCCTTTATTACTTTCTTCATCTTCTTGTTGTTATCGTATATTCCTTTCTTTGCGATCTCTGATAATTTTCACAAGCAGATTGAAAACAGGCATCCTCTGTGTGGGTTTTGTACTCTCCAAAGATCATATCGCTCAGGGACAGCCTCTGTTCAACGCTTCCATAAAAAAAATTAATCTTCGGCCTGTCCTTTACTTTTCTCAGGCTTACCAAATAAATCAGGAGGCTCTGTCAGGTCAAGATTGCGTTCCAACATTCCTTCTCTTTCCAATGGTCCTGATTCTCCTCCCCCTGTCCTTCTTTCTCCGGCAAGCCTGTCTTGGCGAGACGCCATTTTTTAACTGCGTCATAAAAATTTTCCTCTTTCTCACCGTTCACCAATCCTCTCTCCTGTTATAATCCATCCCACACAGTTCTTGAATTCCTGCTTGTGATTAGTAAAAACGCAACAATCTTATTTCTATCTGGGGTGAAGGGTTATTAATATCACATCGTGCAAAGAAAAAAAAAGTTTTTTCCTCCACCCCCCCTTCATTCCAAACATACAGTCTCTTAATGGTGATTCATCAGAAGATTTACTTATCCGTCCGTCACTCCCGGTCACAGAGATCCATTAATCAGCCGTCTTATCTCTCGAACGTTACTTGATGTATGTGCTTCAGCTTCATTCCAATCGTATGTTTCCAATTATAATTCCGAGCTGAAGCTAACCAGCACGCGCTGATTGGAATCGACGTCAGGAAGATCTGACTTCATCGAGGGCTCGTGCCAAGTGTTCGGCACCCCCATCTCTCAGATCAGGGGGTGCATTGTGAACACCGCTGGCAAGGCAGCCCCCCCATCTCCTTGGGGGGGGGTAGGAAGACTGCATACTTCCCATAGCAGCCCCTTAATTACCTCTTATGGGTCAGAGAGATGTTATTGTCGGCCATCTTCCAACGCGCCACCTGGTGGCCCCCCCATACTTGCATTTCCAAAGAAGTTCCCACTGGCACCAGTAGAGGCTTCCCTTGAAAAAACAGCTATAAACTGTGGGTTGGAAAGAGTTAAACATCCTTTCCTCACCCTACCCTCCAGTCCCAACATATTTTAAAAAATGTTATACAACATATAACCTTTATTTAAAACCAACTGTGTGCTAGGCACTATATAAATCTAGGTGTCTCTGTCCACACATTTCAAAGGGCTGCTTTGTGTGGTGTTTGGGGCTTAATTCTCCCTCTGCATGGCAAGAAGCCTGCTAGAGAGAGACATGTGTGAAGGGGAAGTCCACGCATATACAGCTGGGGCTCAAGCTAAAGACTGTACCTCCCTGCATCAGCCTTCTTCTGGGAAGGCCTTTCTCATGGTCCTGACACCTTCACAGGCATGCTTGGTGAGCACACAAGGGCCTTCTTGGTGGCTGCTCCCAGATTGTCAAACTCAACTCCTTTCTGCTTTCCTTTTGCCAGCAGGCAAAGACCTCTTTGTTGCGACAAACTGGCAGCAACTTCCAAGGGTGGGTGTTGTGCTATCTTTGCATGTGTTTTTAAATGTTTATACAGTAAAAGGTTATTGCTGTTTTTTAGTATTTGTACTTATTCTCTCTCTCTCCCTCTCTCTGTGTGTGTGTGTATGTGTGTTAAAGTAAAGGTAAAGGGACCCCTGACTATTAGGTCCAGTCGTGACCGACTCTGGGGTTGTGGCACTCATCTTGCTTTATTGGCTGAGGGAGCAGACGTACAGCTTCCGGGTCATGTGACCAGCATGACTAAGCCGCTTCTGGAGAACCAGAGCAGCGCACGAAAACGCCGTTTACCTTCCTGCCAGAGCGGTACCTATTTATCTACTTGCACTTTGACGTGCTTTCGAACTGCTAGGTTGGCAGGAACTAGGACAAAGAAATAGGCGCTCACCCCGTTGCGGGGATTCGAACCGCCGACCTTCTGATCGGCAAGTCCTAGGCTCTGTGGTTTAACCCACAGCGCCACCCGCATCCCTTGCCTTTAACATTTAAAAGGAACAGCAAATCATATTTGCATAGTATTCAACTTGAGTTCTTTATGAAAGGCTTACATTTAGTCATCTGCTTAAGGCATGAACCTTATCACTCTGCCCTTATCCTGACTTTGCTCGAGCGGAATGTCGTGTAGCAGGCACTGAACACACGCGCTCTTCTTTTCACGCAGCTGCTGTCCCCAGGCGAATCCCTGGATTGTAAGATGCTCAGGACTGGGTCTTGTCCTACATACATATACACACATACAAACGCTTCACCGGATAGCTCAGTCGGCAGCGCACGAGACTCTAAATCCCAGGGTCGTGGGTTCGAAACCCACGCTGGGTGAAAGATTCCTGCATTGCATGAGGTTGGACTAGATAACCCAACTCTACAATTCAAACATCTCCTTTCCCAGATGCTTCTCAACGCATCCACGTTGGGCAACGATCAAAGCGGCTGCTCCGCCCCTCAAGCAGCAGCTGGTGGGGAGCAAAGGCGCTCCCCTTGAGAAGGACCGCGTTTACACGGAGAACGGCAGGAGATAGCGCGTCTCAGCAGCCCCGCAGCTGCGTCCTTCCCTCTACCCATCGGTCACGTGAGTGGGCGGGGCCCTGGAGCCGCTCCGGAGGCGAGTCTTCCTCCGTCATCCCCGTGCGACGAGGCGCGAGGGGCGGAGGGAGGGGGAGGCATGGCCCCCGCCGCCGCGCCCGGGGCTGTTTGTTGTGGGCGGCTGTTATGGCCTCCGTCGCGGGAGAGGCCGGCTTCATCCCGCCCGAGGTCTCCGCCCCGCTAGGGGACTCCTCCGAGGAGGCAGCCGGAGAGGTCTTGAGAGGCGCCCTGCGCTCGCTGCCGGCGCTGGTGGGGCAGGTTAGTTTGGCTTGGGAAGGAGCCAGCGCAGCAGCCGCGCTTGGCGGCGGAGGCAGGAGGGATGAGGGGCAGTTGCCGCCGTGGAAACATCCTCGAAAGGGGGGGGGGCTTGTCTAAAAGGGGGAAAATAAAAGGTCGGCCCCGACACCCAGCTCCGATCTCGCTGCGCAAGTTTCCCGAAAGACGTGTATCTGCACGAGACAATCGTGTTAAAATAGTTTTTAAGGAGTCTCTCCAAGGAAAAGAGGCTTATGATTAAGCCTAGCATAGTGCTTCAGGGCTCCCTTCCCACGTTTTCTCCGTCACGCTTCGCGTATCTGAGCCTCGAACCGAGCTTACCAAACCTAAGCTTGCTACTACTTGGAAGCAACTGCTATTGATTTCCGCAGGAACCTCTTGCCACCCTCGGTGATTGTTGTTGCTGACATGCATGCCCCACAGAAATCAATAGGATTACAAGGGACGTTTTAATCCTCACGTTTTTCCTAGTGGGGTGTTGCTTTCATATATTTCATTTAGCTTTTCCAGGCTCGTTTTTCGTTGATGCATTTGGTACATTGCGCTTCCCAACCCCAACCCCCCACCACTCACGAGTGTGTAATGTAAATCTGCAAATTTGGGAACCTATTTTGTATATGGCTCTTCCTCTTCTTCTACTCTTTTTTTTTATTATAATAACCTTCATTATTTTGACTTGTGTGACACTGGCACATGGGTGGCCGACACACATTTGTTCTGCAGTGAACAAATGTAAGTAGCTGAAGAACTGAGTTCAAATTGTGGTTTACATATTGTAAGGAAGGGGAGCAAAAATCCCATGTGAAACTCAGCATTCTGTAATTGCTTTTTTGCCACCTTTTTAAATGCCTACATACACACATTTTACAGCCTGCCTTTCTAAAGGATAGAAATCTCTTTAAGGCTTGTGTTACAATGACTCTTAAAAAACCTCTGCTAAAATGTAACAAATACAGGCCTGTCCTCAAAATCTTCTCTTGCATCCTTGAGCATTTACATGCATTTCAATTAAACAGAAGCACATATTGATTGAGGAGTAGATAAATGGTTTATTTCTATCTGCATTGATGGTAAGATGGCTGCTGGAGTGTAGTATCACTTCTAGTGTCCAAACTTTTTTTAAAAAAAGTGAGTTGAAAGTGGGAGAGGATGAAGAGAGGAGCCATAAGAATTCTTTACAATGAGGAAAGGATCTATTACAGAGACAGATAATTAAAAGATTCAATAGCTATAGTTTCAAGAAGTGGTTTGATCAAAGAACTTTAAGGAGGAAATAGAAATTGATCAGAGTCAATAAACAGTGACATGTTATGTCTTTTGTTAAACTACATGAAGTGGGCGAAAATTAGTTAGATGGAAACTAGTTGTCTGGCTTTTTGAAAGTGGCATTTTCTCCAATGGATAAAAAGGGTTAGATTTAGATCTGGGAAATATGGGCTCAAGTCTTCATTGCTGTTTTGGATTTATTTTGTAGCCTTGGCCATATATCATCATCAGTTCCCCTTATCCTAAGATGGTATTACAAAAATATTGTTTCATTTGCAATGAAGATTGTAAACAATTTGCTCAGAAGTAAGTCCCATTGAAATTGGTGGGTTTTAACTCAGCTTACAGCAATCTTAAGTGTAGAGAAAGGCAATGTGGTGGATCCGTTGTTGCATCCCAAGCCCTGCTGCTTTGGCAGACAACTGGGGGACTGGTTTCTGTCATTTTTATTTATGCACAGTGAAGTCTGGGTTGGCACTGCTGAAGGTCCTGAGAATTAGTCCCTCAGGGAATATACAGAGCTTTGGATCCATCCCATCAAAAACTGCCCAGTAATACTGTGTTAGGGCTTTCCCCTTTCTACTGCTGGTAGAAGCCAGCCGAGGGACTTGTATGTGCCATCCTAACACATTGCCCATCCAGTCATCATAGGAATACTGGAAGGTACCCGATACTAAGTCAGATCATTGGTTTATCTAGCTCAATATTGTCTACATTGACTGACTGCAGCTACCCAGGGTTTTGGACCTATCTGGAGCTTCCAGGAATTGAACCAGGGTCCTTCTGGGTGCAAAGCAGATGCTCTGCCACTGAATTATGGCCCTTCTCCATGCTATTCAACATGGGGCGGAGGAAGGATAGGAGTTCACTTAAAGTGTCTATAGAATTGCAACCTAAAAGTGCTAAATAAAGTAATGTCTGCGGAAGGAAACCAGTGTAAATCATTTGGTAAAAATCTTCCTCCCACTTTTTGTAGCCTCAGTTGAAATTAAAATTTTCAGTGAAATGTTTTCACATAGGACACACACACACACACACACACACACAGTATACTGAAGTGTATCATTATTTTAAAATAGAAAATAGCCACCATTAGTACTGAGCTTATCCCCCATATTTTGAGAACATCTTCTGAACTCCCAAGGGCATCCATGGGAGGAGCCGAACATATGAGAAAAGTTGCACAAGGCATGAGTGCAGGGAAAGTGAAAATGGGAGCATCAACTACTTCTACATCTTTTATTTTATAAGCTAGTAATATTCAAATATATATAGGCCGAGGGGCTTCTGGCGGTTCCCTCACTGAGAGAAGTGAGGTTACAGGGAACCAGATAGAGGGCCTTCTCGGTAGTGACGCCCACCCTGTGGAACGCCCTCCCATCAGACCTCTGAAGGCAGCCCTGTTTAGGGAAGTTTTTAATGTTTGAAGTTTTATTCTGTTTTTAGTATTCTGTTGGGAGCCGCCCAGAGTGGCTGGGGAAACTCAGCCAGATGGGCAGGGTATGAATAATAAAATTATTATTATTATTATTATTATTCTACAGCACAAAAATTATGACTACTTAAAATATGAGACTGAAACCATCAACATATGCAAGATTATATCCAAGAATTTTGCACATCATTCCTGCTACCTAATGAGTGCACAATTACGCCATAGCAGAAAATTTCAATATATACTGTATTTTTCGCTCTATAAGACGCACCTAATTTTTGGAGGAGGAAAACAAGAAAAAAAATATTCTGAATCTTAGAAGCCAGAACAACAAGAGGGATCGCTACGCAGCGAAAGCAGCAATCCCTCTTGCTGTTCTGGCTTCTGGGATAGCTGCACAGCCTGCATTTGCTCCATAAGACGCACACACATTTCCCCTTACTTTTTAGGAGGGAAAAAGTGAGTCTTATAGAGCAAAAAATACGGTATATGTTTCAGTCCTCTGAAAAACATATATCTTTTATATGTAGAAAAAAGTGGCATATTTTCCCTTGGGCTTGGAAATAATCTGTTAAATGGCTCCTGGTTTCCTAGGCTGCTTATGCCTTCCCCACTGTTGCTCATAATATTGAAGTACCCTTCACCCCAAAGTGCTCAGAGTGTACTAAATATTTCAGTTGAGGGAAAACACTAGTGGAAACCACCAATAATGTGTCCCAAATTGTTAAACTCCTGGCCCAATTCCACCTCTGTATTTACATACAGCATAAATAGGGCATGTCTGAAGTAAGAATATTGAAAAATCCTCAAAAGCAATGATGTTCAGGAACAGGGGGTTAAGTTTCTAGACTCAAAATGGCAGTAATTTTTAGCAGAAAAAAATAAAACTACAGTAACTAATTGAAATCTATGCAGTTAACTGTCACATGTGCTCCATTAGAATGTCACCTCAGAACATGATTGTTTTAAAACTTGAGTTGATTAACCTGCAGATTCCTCTGTCATTAGAAGTGAGAATGACAACTAGCTTAGATAGTAATAGATTTATTCTCTATAAATTTTCCTGAGGACTAGGAACATAGTTCAGAAGCGGTATCCCACAGAGTAACAGTTGCCAGGAAGCAACAGCAGGAGATGACTTGTATTGAAGGCCTGCTTGTTTGCTTTCCATAAGCATCTGCTTGGTCAGTGTGGGAAGCAGGCCGCCAGACTTGGGAGTAGACCATGGGCCTGATTCAGTCTGTTCTTGATGCTTTCGACTGATGTGAAATTCCCGTTTAACTCTTAGGCTGTTTGTGGTTGGAAGGGCTGTTGTGTTGAAGCCCTCTTGTGACATGATTTGTTTCACTTTTGAAGCTTAATATTGGAGAAGATGTGGTGAAAATTAACATCGACTGGAGCAAGCTTCAAAGTACATCACCCGCGTTGCTCTTTACTGCTCTGCAGCAGCATATATCAGGTTTACAGGTAATTTTTTTTTTCTTGGAACTTTAAAATCTCAGCTCTCTCAGAGTAATCCTTAAATGCAGAACCTCAGCTCAGCAGTTAGGGCTGCGGTGTAAGGAAATGGTGCATCTTACTGTATTGTACACCTGAGGTTCCACGGTGCTTTCTAAAAGATTTAAACCTGTTACCTTAAAACAATTATCAGAAGGATTGTGGGAATAGCATTGCAAGCTTCTGTGGATAAGTAGATTGTGCAAATGTAGTCCTGTTGATTTCTACACTTCCATTGTAAATGCAGTACATTTCCATCTGTGGTGGGTTATAATTAAGCAATAACACGGCAGGTGTGTGTCATGCTATGATAATGATTCCATGCGTTGGGTGAGTTCTGCGGTTCGTAGAGTGCTTTCAGTGGATCAAGAAGTGGCATTATCCCAGCATGATGCATCCTGGTGTGTGTGTCTGCAATTAACCATATTTCCAGCACAGATTTTTTTTTCCTCAAAGTAACTTCTTAGATATTTAATCTTTCATCTTGTCAAGTAACCAGTTGCTCTGTGTTATCCTATTCATTTGACATTTTAAAACCATTATTAATGTGAAGTTGCACTATTTGCCTTGCTCCTTGTTTTTGGATGTCATTTTTGATTGCATGCTAGCACAGTTCATGTGGTGTCTGTGTGATGCCACAATGAGAATATATTCAACTGAGGTGTGGCCTGTCACAACATCTCCTTTGCAACTTCTCTTGGGAATAAAACAGAATGATGTTGGTTCATTTCCTGTCTGTCTTTGTGGGGGGCTTGTATAGCAGAAATTTCCCGATGATTGTGCCATCATTCTAAATAATGTATATATCAAAAGCTTTTAAAAAAGAAAAGAACTTGCAGGGCAGTGAGCACAACAAGTGCTCTCATGCAATTGTTTCTTAGTATGAGAACTAATAACCTTGTAAGTGGATGTTATTATTTTGTTACTGTTTTTTCAAGCAATTTGATAGTGCCAACCGAAGTATTTCTATTAATAGCATTGGTGTAAAATCCTAATTTTGTATCTCCAAATAAGGAATAAACATTAAGCTCAATTAAATGGAAGTGGGGGGATTGCTGATGTTGTAAATCACTTCATAGTTTTTGATTGTTCGCATGATTTGCAAGTGCTGTTTTTTGCTGAGTTGCTGTCTAGCCCTTTTATTGCAGGTTCTTTAAAAGTGTAACAGAAGAATGGATGAACTAACTTGTATTTGGGTTTATTTTGTTGTATGACTTTGCACAGAAAATGCAAAGGATATAAATAGGGCTTTTTTTAATGATGAGAAAAATAAGGTGCATTTATTTTGCTTCTCTGGTTATTGGCTGTGTTGGGAGATGCATGAGCCTGTAGTACAATGTTTGTATTCTCCCATGCATTTTGGGTGGCTGCGTTTCAAGTGGAGATGCTGCCAGTGATGTAGTGTTAAAGCAAGAGCTTTAGCAGAATGAGAGTCTTGGCTCTCATGTTAAGGAGGAAAAATACTTAAGCCTTAATGTTCTGGGTAAGCATTTGAATGGCATGTAAATTAAGTGGCATTGGTGGCGAAGGGTGCTGCTTTGATTTGGTACAAAACAGATGAGTAACAGGCAGATTTTCTCAGATAGTCTGGACCCTCCAGAGGTTGATTTTTTTTCAGATACGCAGATTAGTAAAAGGCACCGATCGAAAGGGCAGTGACACTTAGAGATGTTGTATTTTAATTCTAGTTTGATTGAATTATGTACACAAAGGTGATGGCATATGGCCTCTACAATTATTTTAAGAAGCTTGTTTTAGAGATTCCAGTTAAGAAAAAGTGTTCTGTCAGTTTGAATCCCATCTCTCTCTCCCCCGCTCTCCTTTCTTTTGCTTTAGCCATTTATAGAAAAACTCCAGTCTTTGATTAAAGAAGAAAGCACTGTACCCGCTGATGAGTCCAGTAAGACAGAAGGTGGAAAGTGTGAGACTAATTCAAATGTAATAGAAAAAGACTTGCAGATGGAAGTGACACATGCAGCTTTTGGTTCTGCAAGCCTGAAAGAGGCTCATGTTGATTTTGACCCAGAAGTAGTCCAAATAAAAGCTGGGAAAGCTGAAGTGAGTGAGTCTTGGGCCACTTTTTTCTTTCTTTTCTAAACTAGACCATTTCCCCCCTATTTTGAATGGAAATAATGAAATCTAAATACAAGTTGTCCCTGTCACCTGCAGATTGAAAGACGAATATCAGCCTTCATTGAAAGGAAGCAAGCTGAGATCAATGAAAACAATGTCAGAGAATTTTGCAACGTTATCGATTGTAATCAAGGTAGCTGTCCACTTGTGGTTTAATTTTCTTACCCTTTTAAGTGTGATCTCTTGCCCTATTATTTGAACAGCTCCTAAAAAAAAATATTGAAAAAAGGGCAATGTTACATAGTTAACCATGTAAAAGGCATTGGTTAGACAAAACGTAAAGGGAGTCTTAGTTTACAACACCCTGATTTGTACTCATTTATAATTCGGTCCCAGTGACTTCAATAAACTTATTTCCAGTGTAATCTAATTCTTATTCTAGGGTATTCTCAATAACTGTAGTGGCATACAAAAGCGTACATGATTTCTAGACTGCACCCTTAACTAAGAATATGGCTTTTCTAAAAATATTTTGGGGAAAGCTATATAGGGTATGAATGGAGTCCCCTTCCTTACTATAAATCAATCTGAGCAAGTCTGTGTTTACTGGGTTTTTTTTCACCTGTTCTCTTCTTACTAATTGCATTTTAGTGTGAGTAACTGTGCACAGAAATGTATCACAGAAGTGTGATAATAATGTGCACTAATAATGATTCTTAAAACGTGAGGAGAAAAGTATGTTCTTAATGAAGTATAACTTCTGGATTTCATCATTTAGATGTACTGAAGAAGATAAGCATGGTTGTTAAGCTCCTTTAGCTTGTCATTGATATTTCCATTTTATACATGGCCATCACTTGTCCAACAAACCACATCCCTCAGAAACTACATTTCTCTCTTTCTGTACCAGTGACCAAGATCATACCACTGCTCAAGTCATCTTTCATCATCAGTATCATCAGTGGTATTGCTTTCTGGGTATTAAAAGGCACAACTCTGAAGGTGAACATTTTTCCACCTGTGCTTTTAAATTATTATTAAAATAGATGAGAAAAATGGAATACAGCAATCACACAAATTATGTCATGAATAAAATCAAAATCAAACAATAATACATATGTGTGATATGCCTGCAACACAAGTTCCATAGTTTTATAAACAGAGCAAGATTCCTCAGTATCTTAAGAAAAGCAAATAACCATTTCAGTATTTTGATCATATTGTTTTTTCCAAAAGGTGACACATTCAATTGGTAAAGATGTTCTTTTCACTTCTTAAACCTTATGAAATGTGTAAGCTTCACCACCAATAAGTGCTTGCCTTCCAGTGCAACCATATCCATGTATACTCAAAAGTCTCCTTTAAGTTCAGTGGGCTTGCTTCCAGAGAAGTGTTTATACGATTGTAGCCTTAATCATTCTTCAGTAGGTTTTTTTCTGTTCTCTACTTGGAAACAATTTCAGTTTTTCCAGTAATTAACACGTTAGTTACCACTTTTCTCTATTCCTATATTACATAATTTTTATATAACCTGGTGCATTATAACTTGGCCCTCTTATTTCCTTAATCATAGCAAAAAGTCTGACCCCAAATAAAACATTTTGGCAAAAACAAAAAACAAACCACCAATTATCAAAGTCATCAGCAGAACTGACAGCATCTCCAGTGCCTATCGTCTTGTATTAAATGCATCTGTCTCAATTTACCTTGTGCTGTATACCACCTGCACATGATTTTAAAGTGATTTCCCCTTAAATTAGTTGATATAGAATACTTGATTTCTTGTGTAAATACATACTCACATGAATATTCTATAATACCACTCCTTAAATATTTTCCCAGTCTAGTCTAAATTTATGTTCAGTGGGAACTTATGTTTTGAGGAAATGATAATGTTCAGAAAATAAACCTTTGGTTTTTACCAGATTTTTTATATCTATATCCATAGTGTGTGTGTGTATAATTTCAAAACTTGTTTAATTTTAACCAAGTGTTTACTAATCCATTCTATTACAAAAGCATTTAACAGAAAACATGATATAATTCCTCACACACATGACTTTAGAAAGTATCCATCTTTAAAATAAGAATAAAAATAAATTATTTAAATGAGTGCCTTGCCCAAACAATTAAAGTAGCCATAAATTCACTCCATTTAAGAGTATCATTATAAAAACAAGTCTAATTGGAAAGCAAATCATCTTATCCTTATCCTAAATATTTGACACAGGAGTTTTGCCAATATTTCTTTCTCTCTCTCTAAGCTGCACACTTGGAACATATAATATTGTACATTTCCTGTACGGGATTCTGACATATGTTCTGGATCTTTTAATATTGAAAGCTGGGCGCTTCTGTAAATTGGCATTTGTTAAGTGTTAATGGGGTTTTTACTTTTTAAAATATTAATAGAGCAGTATAGTTAATAACTGCTAAACATGAAGACCCTAAAATGTGGATATTATTATTGTCCCTAGAAAAAGTAATCTCAGTAATCTGTATATCTGTAATCTGGCCTACAGTAAGTAAAACCAAGTTTGAACATCAGCACTGAGTGTTCTGTGCTTTTAGGTTGAAATCCAATTTTAGTCATTTTTGGGGTAGATAGACTGAAATCAGTAACTTAAGTCTATTGATTTCAGTGGGTCTACTCAGAATATGACATAATTGGATACTGCATCTTATTTAGGTATGCTAGCTGGCTCTGTTAAGCCTCTGGAGCGAAGTGTGGGCTTTTTAAATGACTGCACTAATGATCACTTATTAAAAACACTCTTAGAAAACAGTTGTGCAAGGACTGATGCAGTGTTCACACCTTACCCAGGATTCAAAAGTCATGTTAAGGGTAAGTACTATTTATCATTATCTGTCAGTGTATTTAATGAGGGATTTTGTCCTCTAAAGTAACCCTTTAAAAAAAGAAGAACCAATACAATTAATATAGGCAAGAGGGAACTTGGTCAGTTTCTCTACGCTCTTGAACTAGACATTCACTTGATAACGGAAGATCTCTCTCTTTCTAAGATGAGACATCAATTGAGGCGATATACCTAGTCCAATGTACGTTTATTCAGAAAAAAAAAGTTCCCAACTGAGTTGTGGGATTACAGCATCTGTTCATTTTCTAAGCCAATGAGAGACACTTTGTTCAGCTGCATTAGAAATGTTTGTCATTTTATATTAAATTTAGCTTTTCAGAAACAAGTGCTAGAAACTTGGGTTGGGGAGATGATTTTTTTTATTACTGTTATTTAAAAAAATTATCCAGCTGTGATTTTAAGCACACCTATTAGGAAACAAATCCCATTGAACTCAGCAGGGCTTGTTTTGAAGTAAGTATGCTTGTGATCAGACTGTCAGCATTCTACAAAAGACTGTGGCTACTGTGGTAGAAAATGGCTTTTGGATGAAAGTTGCCTTGCATTATTATATCACTGATTCTCTAATTGCCTTTGTAGAATGGTCAAAAGCTTTATTCTTTAGGAAAGCTTTTGGACCATAAATGGTTGTTTCGCTTTTGAAGTGGTTTTAATTGCTGTGATTAAATTATTTTTTCATAGTTTTGTTCTCCCTCCTTCACCCTCTCCTGTTTTAGTGAGTTATTTCTGCTTTATTGCCATTTATTGTCATTTTTTAAAAAAAATGCTAGGTTATTTAACTTGGTGGTGCTAAACACATTGGGCTTGTTGAGGAAAAGTGGGATATAAATGTTGTAAATAAAGAAACAAATCAATGGCTAGCTTTAAAAAAAAAAAGATGGCAGTGTGAAAAGTTCAAGGAGTAATTCTCTAGAATAGTTGTCTGGAGCAAAGGTGGGGAACTGGTTTGACTCCAATCTCCCATCACCCTCTGCCCCGGCCAGCATGGTCAGTGGTCAGGAATGACCATTGCTGTTAATCCAGCAATGTCCGGAGAATCAAATGATATTGCTCCCTCTTTCTCTCTTTTGTGGAGCGTTTATTGTGGGAGTCTGGAACTCCTGCTAATTGTATTCTTGGTGGGGCGGGGTGAAGAGCAGGTGAGTCATTTCTATTAAGCTGAGCACCACATAATCTTTAGTACTTAATAGTTGCTAATTTACCATATTGAAAGTAAGCTCTGCCATGCAGTTTCTAATTGGAGGTGTTTTAAGTTAGTGTAGAATCACAGTGCAGTAGTGCACATGACAAGAACAATTCAAAGCACATGGGATAGTCGTATTTATTTTTCCCAGCATGAGGCGTACAAACAGCAGGGGTATTTGAGTCAGTAAGGAAGAGTAATTGAAGAATTCAGAAGTTAGATGTCTTGTGCAGTTTAGCCACCACCAGAGTAGAATGCGGAACATTACAGTTTAAGCTAGGGACAAATGCAAATTGAGATTGGCTAGAATTATATTCTCTTAACTAAGGAAGCAGCCCTGGGAGTAGTCCTATTAAACACAGTGGGGCTTACTTTTCTAGCGAAATTAATGAAATTGCACTGTCAAAGGTATTCTCCTTGCAGATAATCCTTGCTCGTTCCTTCCATGTGTGTAAAATATTCATCTTGTACTTCTTGAACCTAGTTTCTCGAGTTGTAAACACCTACGGACCCCAGACTAGAAGTGACAGTGCTCATGGGTCCACTCATAAGGCGAACTCCCTTTCTCGGGATTGTGGGAATCAGGCTGTAGAAGAGAGACTGCAGAACATTGAAGCACATTTAAGGTTGCAAACAGGTTTGTAGAAAGCTTGTTATCTGTGTATGCAAATCATTTGTATTCATGCCCTCAGTTGTGAGTCATTCGGTGCAGCAGAAACCATCAGAAGTATAAATTCAAAGTGTAACTATAGAGAAGGCTACACTTTTATCCCTGGTGTCCTATTTCTTACTTTTGGACTTCAAAATTTGGGAGTGTCCTGGCTGAAGAATGTTGGGACAAGGATTAGAATTGTTCATGTAAAAGCACTATGCATTGCACTTCCTTCTCTCTTTTTGTCCCCTCCCTCAAAAAAAAATCTGTAGGAATTACGTGTTCAGTCTAGTTGGATACACTACTCAGTGGCTGGTGGTCTTTGCCATGTTTACCACTGTCAGGCAGCTTGCTGGGCAGCCTAGCATGTTCATTACTAGCCTCTTCCATATAAGGAATGGAAAGAAAAACTCACTAAGTTCTTGTAAAGATCCAAGAGAGGAATTACACTCTGGGAGATATATATAGTCTGCAAATCTAAATGTGTGCATTTTATTTTTCATGCCAGTCATGTTTCACTTCCAGTACAGTACATCCACAAAATTTTGAAGTAGGAGTGTAAGGACTCTGGCATATGGTTCTTCAGATGGAAAAATGTCACAACTCACAACAATAAGTGTAGTCAAGGTCTCTTTGCAGAAATCCTGATCAGTGGTTTCATTAACTCTGCTTTGATGGAGCATAATGGACAGAGTTATATTTTCAAAGAACAAGAATAAAATACAAGATGAGATTTATTTTTTAAAAACAAAGCAAAATATTAAACCTATGTCTTTTTTGCAATTGCATTCAGAGCTCTGGATCACCACGTGTATATAAGCAATGCACTTTCCAAACCCAACCTTGGAATCCTGCCTTGCTAGGATTCAGCAGGTCTTGGCACCAGAGTATTGCTCTTTAATGTATGTTTTCCCTCCTATGCACCCTTTGTTATGTTCATATCTTGATTGAGAGATTAATCTTAAAGGCTATACTGAAGTTTTCTTTTTTTTTCTTTTTCTTTTTCTTTTTCTTGAATGCTTCTAGTCATGCTAGCTTTTCATATCTGTCTATCATCCATCTATCTATCTATCTCCTATAATACAGGTGGACCAGTGCCAAAAGACATCTATCAAAGAATAAAAAAGCTGGAAGATAAGATTCTTGAATTGGAAGGAATGTCTCCCGAATATTTTCAATCTGTGGTAAGTCTAACTCTGTTGCGCTTCATAAGGTGCACAAAGCAAAGTATGTGGAGGTTTTCTATAGTAAAAAAAGAAAAAAAAGTTACTTCAGTCTAGCCATTTTGTTCCAGGCACAGAGTTTTCTGCTGTACTTTCCCAGCTCCACAGTCTGTCTTGTTCATTTCTCTGGAAGGGACAACTCTTCATGATGCTCTCTACTGAGGACAGCTAGGCTACCAGCAAATATGATATGTTCTATGTACACACTGGAGAATTCTTGAGACGCTGTTTTGGGAAGATGTACTAGTTTTTTAAAACTGTACAGAGTATTTTCCTCTTACAAAGGTGAAAATGTTTTCTCAAGAGCTAATTTACTCATTTGGATTTAAACACACACACACGCATGTATTCCAGGACTCAGGATACAGAAAATTAGGGATGAAGCCTGACTACAGTCCTCTGTGGTTTGCTTGCTTTTTTCCAGCAGGTTTTCCAGTCTAAAAAAGCACACATACAGCTGCTAGGGTTGGTTAAAAACTCATTGGGCAACTGTTTGGGGAAGTAGTAAATCCAGCACCCACTCGTACACAGCTGGTCAGCAGGATTTAATATCCATGTGTGAAACCTCAGCGGTTGGATGAAAAAGGGAAGCCACATGTTGATAGTCCATCAATGCATGTGGTTCCCCATCTTTTTGCACATAACATGCTCCTAGCAGTATTAGAATAAGCAAATTTTATATAGGAGAGGATTCAGGTGCTCACATTTCTCTTCAATAGAAAATGGAAGCCCTGTGTGAAGGATGGGCTCTAGGTTGGTGCCTCTTTCATTATGATGAGGAAAAAAATTATTGTCCTTTCTTGTTTTTGTAATACAAAAGAACCATAGTAGAGAATGCTTTACTTATATTTGGACTTTTGGGTTGGTCTTTTTTTTCAGAATTTGTCGGGCAAGAGAAGGAAAACCCAACAAAACCAAGTGAGTTGTACTAACCTGTGTGTTTCTTGCAATTAAAAATTCAGAGGTTTATAACCTTTGGTATTCCTCTACTCTCAGCTTGCTTAAGCTAGAATAGACACACCAGAAACCCCTCCGCAACACATGCATTTTCTTTGTCTCTGTTAACTTAGCATATATTTTAGCACTGTTAAATATTTCATTGTTTCATAAACTTAAAGATAGGATGGACTCATATGGCACAGTGGCCCCAGCCAAAAAAAACCTTCTCCAGGCACCTTGGGGAGTGCTTAAATCTGCTTCTCAGTTCAGTCTGCTGGATTGCATGGGAAACAGTAACATCTCACATCTCTGGGGACCGACATCTCGCATAGTCCAGCCAATCCTCATGGGAATCAGAATCCAGTGTTCCCATAGGAGTATGGAGCTCCAAACATGGCATTCCATAAACATTTGAATCTGTCCTAATCCAGGATTTAATTCTTTTTTTAAAAATCAAAGCATCAGCCCTTCTAAGTTCTCTAGCAGCACAATCCTGTGTGTGTTCACTCAGTTCCCTTGTACACTGTGAAATTTACAACTAACTCCGAAGGAAATGTGCATAGGGTTACACTGGATCTCAATTCTCAATATGAGAAATCATCTTGGTAGTTTATAGATAGCAAATTAAATTCACCGCGACTTTTTCCTCTCTCTCTCAGATTATTCTTATTCTAGCTAAAAAACGTTAGGAGTTTTCATCATAATTACCACCATAGTCACTGGGGAAATTCAGATGTATAGTAAATCATGATTTATTAAGCCAGTGATAAGCATCCTACACACAGAGACTTCCCTTACATGCCAACTTTGGTGCTTGTTTTATGGTTTCTTTAACTGCAATTTCCTATTACATCAGAAATGGAAAACTGTGATCTAACTTTGGACTCCAGACATCAATATGAAAGCAGTCTTCATACTGTGATCTGTGGTCCAGCATTAAAGCACAGTTTAGGATTTTTTTAGCACCCTCAGAAGCCATACCATATGTGATGTAAAGTGAAACTGGTTTATGTAACCTCGATGAAAGTGGTGAAATTGGCAAATACAATGAGAAGAGTGGGTTGAACATGAATAAGATGCTGATTTTCTGGATTCTATCATGAAAAGTAGCACGGAGTAATCCTGAAAAAGGCACTCAATCTCTTTTCATACACAACCGCCACAACTAGAGTAGTATATGCAAAAAAATGGAAAGAAAAGGAGATAGCCACAAAATAAATATGGCAAAATAAATTGATAGAATACACAGAATTAGTAACTATGACCACGAAATGAGTGGAAGTGTTTTGAAGAATATCTCAGAGGATATAATAGTCAGTTTAACCTACAAGTAGGAATGAACATAGGAACAGCAGATCACATTAAATAAAGGAAGATTTGAGACGAAGATGGGTGGAATAATAGAATATGCAGCCGAGAAAAGACTGCCTAGAATGCCATGGGGAGATAGACTGGGAAGGATAAGAGATAACGGGGATAAGAGGGATAAGATTCATCATTATCTCTTATCTGAGGATAAGAGATAATGATGAATCTTGTATGGTGTATATATATGTTGTAAAAGTGCATAAACAGAAAGAAAAGCAGCACAGGGTCTTTTTTTATAAAAGAGGGGGGAGAGAGAGACTAGAATGTTTCAAATGTTTATGCAACAAATCCAAGATGTTAACCTCTTTTTTTCTGAATGGCAGAACTATTCTTTGGCTGAACTTGATGAGAAGATCAATGCACTTAAGCAAACACTGCTGAGAAAAACAAATGAAGGGAGGCCCAAGGTTGTTGATCAGCTTCTTTGAGTACAGTGATGTGACTTCATCATGCTTTCATGTGTACTTAACTCCAGACTGCCCAAGTACTGTTTATCTAGGCACTCTGTGGAAATGAAACATTACATATGAACCAGTCAAATTCTTATTGGAAACCTAGGTCAAGTGAACTTTTTTTCTTCAAAATGAAGAATGCTTTTAAACGTCGCATTGTAAATGTCTTCCCTTCTGATGGAAAGGAGGGTCTGTAGAAACGATAAAAAGAAAACCATACTTCTTGTATGTGATGCCTGTGAATCAGAATGCCTCTTTAAATATAGTTTTATCCAAAGACTATAGTGCGAAACGTGATTGTTCATATAATTCGCATAGCTTTGTGAAATAAAGAGTTATATGTAGAAAAATTAAGCCAGCTTGCTGTGGTCTGGGTATCATTGGGAATTTCATGGTGCATTTAATGGGATGAGGGATTTCTTGATGTAGGAAGGTTAACTGACATACATCGCTAGGTGATACTGTTATGAGTGATACTGTTCATTCATGAGTTAATACTGAATGCTTATGGAAGTGAAATCCTTAGGACTTATTTCAAAAGAAGAAGAAAAGCAACTGTGTTACACTGAAGTAACTCCACACAAGTTACCTTCACATAGGCTTTTTGAACTCTGTGTGATGTCTGTCTTGTCTTGACATCATAGACTCATAAGAGTCACTAGTGACCTAAAAGATCATCTCATCCAACCCTCTTTTAGTATGGGAAAGACACTACTGCAGCATCCCTGATTGGTTGCCATCCAGCCTCTGCTTTAAGACCTCTAAAGAGAAGAATGGAAATGATCATGATCAATACTACTGCTATGGTAATGAGCACTAACAGCAAGTGTGTTGTAGTGGGGAAAGTGTTGGTTGTTGTGGACTAGGCAAATCTTGGTTAAAGGCCTGCCTTAGCCACAAAGCTCAGTGTGGCGCACTTGAATAGGGTTGCCATACGTCCAGAATTACCCAGACATATCCAGAATACTGCAGTCGGAAATAGTGTCTGGGTGGAAATCACAAAAAAATGTCTGGGGAACCCATGTTGGCTGTGCCATTTTTGGCAGTTTCCCCTCATAATAGCTTAAAAGCTTTATATATTTTTTTGCGAATTTGCCAGAAAAGCTGAACAGCTTTTTCTGTCTGGATTTTCACTGTTTGACAAGCCTACTCATGAACAATTCTCTAGTTTCTTAGCCTAATTGAGCTGATGGGTTTATTGGAGGAATACAAATACTTCATCATTACAAACTTTTATTATCTGCCTTGTAAAGTTAAATGTTACATGGCTAATAGAACTTCGAAGAAAATGGGATAGTAATTCATCATGGAATCACTCTTCACTGCAGAATAGAACTAGACCTACAGCTTAGTTTTCCTTATTTGTCACCTACACATCGGTAAACAATGTCCCCGCATTTATACCACATACCTACTTGCAGATGCCTTTTTATTTAGTTATCATTCTGTAACAAAAATATCCTAAGAAACCCAACTGAATTCTACAAATAGGGTGCTTTTTAACCCCAGGCAATGTTAATATTGGGGGGAGGGCATTTTTTAAAAGCAAAAATCAAGCAAGGGAGGTAGATACCTTCTGATAGAATACATATGCTTCTGTTTTAGAATATTTTAGCACCCCAGACACATGTGAGTTGGTTTGGGGTAGAAAAATGCCACACCTGTATATGTCAGTTTTATACTACCCCATGTCAATCTCACTACATTAGAAGTTGGAGGGCGTAGGAAAATACTTAATAAAACTGGCTGTGTCTAATTGAAAGAGGCTAAATTTAGGCATAGGGACTAAGTACAGTGGTACCTCGGGTTACATACGCTTCAGGTTACATACGCTTCAGGTTACAGACTCAGCTAACCCAGAAATAGTACCTCAGGTTAAGAACTTTGCTTCAGGATGAGAACAGAAATTGTGCTCCGGCGGCGCGGCGGCAGCGGGAGGCCCCATTAGCTAAAGTGGTGCTTCAGGTTAAGAACAGTTTCAGGTTAAGAACAGACCTCCAGAACGAATTAAGTACTTAACCTGAGGTACCACTGTACTCTACAACTTTACCTGGAATTTCCTAAAGGTAACAAAGTAACCAAACATTTACAGACAATACAAAGACATTTGGAAACAATCATAATTTATTTGTATGCCACCTTTCCATAGTTAAAAGTTACAAACTGCAAAGGTAGTCCTAAACAATAAATTGAACACATCGAAAAGTACACAACCATAATTGAACAATTTCCACATAAAGCATTATAAGAACTTCTTCAAACATTGCATAGCTAAACTGAAATTTGTTTCCACAAAATCTAGTGATGGTCATCAGCTTAGGCATGAGACAGAACGTCTTCTCCCAGACTCCAGAACCTGGGGAAGCTAGTCCGGCTCCTTCCTAGCTTTCCTTCCAACAGGATTTTGTAAACTTAGTGCTTCAAATGAGCGGGCTGGTGGTGTTCTGTTTTTATTGTAATTATTATGTTTTAAACATATTTTATATGTGTATATAGTTTTCATTCTATCAGTGTTTCATTGTTTTTTCATGATTGTTTCTTTGTTTTTAGCAATTCCGGTTTTTATCTGTAATAATAGGGAATTGGGGGGGGGAATCAATGGAAGGTAAGACTATCATATTCAGCAATGGCAGAATCTGGGGCAGCAGCATGCTATAGAACAGCAACAGGAAAGGGCTAGTACTGTAACATCCTCTTTCTGTAAAAAGAGACTTGTTGCCACTATTCAGTAACCTCTCAGTCTGACTGCTGTAATAATACACAGGGCTGCCTGTGAAACTTCAGTTGATCAAAGACGCTGAAGTCAGAATGTAAGATGGATGTTAACTTCCAAGAGCCAATACTGATTAGCAGTTTGTTTCCTGGCTAATTTAAAGACCCTGCTTTTTATCCTTAAACTCTTATCTGAATGTGGTGCACTTGTGAATGGTATGGGCGTGTGAATCTGTGTGTTTGTGTGTGTGCTTCACTTTGGGATTGGGCCCTAGCCATTGCTGGTATGTAGACCCATCATGCATCTCACAGGGCAGGTTGGGGTGTTGCGAACTCTGCTTTGAAGCCCACATCAAGAATACCCAAGAGAGTACCTTTTCCCACATGTACCACACCAACCACAGAGATTCTGTCACTCCTCTCTGCTGCAAAGTGCTACCTTTGGAGGCTAGATTGCATTCGGCAATTTTTATTCTTGTCTATAAAAATATTCACATACCACTATATTGTAAAAAGTTGTTTACAATAACACATGAAGCATACGCGGTTGCTATGCAATGTTTATGGAACCATTACAGCTTGAGATTTGCCTCATTCAAGAGCTTAGCCCACTTAGTGCTATTAGGACTAAGGGGGCTTTTAACTTCCAAGTTGGACAGAGATTAGTTTAGTTTGTATTATTTTTCCTATTGTCAAGGTGATGCTGTTGGTTGCAGCCTTTCTCAACCTTGGGTCCCCAGATGTTTTTAGCCTACAACTCCCATCATCCCTGACCACTGGTCCTGTGAGCTAGGGATCATGGGAGTTGTAGGCCAAAAACATTGGGGGACCCAAGGTTGAGAAAGGCTAGTCCATCTTTTCTTGGATTTTAAAAATACAGTTGGAGTGGCAATTTAATGTTGCTTGCTGCTTTGGGAATTTGAGTCGCAAAGCAGATTTATAAGCCCTTAAATAAATACAAAACAGATAAATAAAAGGCATAAAAACAATGATGATCAGAAATTGATAGAAAATAACTGTACTGCAAGCAAGGCCAGGTCTTTGTAATAATTCAGAAAGTGTATAAGATGATACTGCAAAATCACTGATAAGTTAATGGGAAACCGATTAACCTGTTTTATAAATTAACCTATGAGTGTATAAATTCAAACAACATATATCACACCTGACAACCATTTCTATAGTAAAGCCACAAAGTGTTTTGCACCTAGAATGGTATAATCTAATCAGACCTGCAGACTTCTTCCACTCCCATTTTCAGACTATTCAACACTACAGACTCTGGTACTTTTTCTGATAGTATGTATATACAGGTCTCTTCCTAGAAGCATCTCTCTGAACTAGAGTGAATTAAAAAGTTATTCACTCTGGACACAAGAGCATCCTCTGTTTGAATCTACACAAGTGAGTCAGTGCTTGTAGGGGAAAAAGGGGGGGGGGAGGGAGAGAAAAGGATAATTACTTATTCCCTCTTCAAGTGGGAATAACGCTTTGATGCCTGAAAAAGGAAGGGGTAGTTCTGATCTCTGAAAGAGAATAGCAAGAACGCTGTAGAATTTCACATCTTGAACTACAAGACTACAGAACATTTCACATACAAGTCAGGTGTTTCTGATGTACGGTAGTTACCTGGTACGGACAGTTTAAAAGACCATTCATTCCCTGTTCCTGTTCGGTCATGATGCCACTATTTACAATAGCTCTGGTTCATGTTAACATAACTCTGTAATATTGCACAACCACCTAAAATTAACAGATACTTTATAAAAGCCATTCCATGAGAACCACCCTTTTCCTGCCTGAAAAAGAAGACTCGATGCTATACTCAGATACAGGCAATGTAACATATTAGTTGGTCTTCTATTATTGTCTGATTCTGGAATGTCTGCTTTTGCTGCAAGTTCTTCTGCGAAAGGAGCGATTCATCTCTAGGAGGCTAATTTCTTATAGCCAAGTGCAGGATTTTAATAAACAAACCAAAAAGTGAAGTGCCTTTTTGAACAGCCCTCACATCAGCAGGAAATATGAGTGGTTCGGGAAGCTTGAACTGTTCACTATTCTCTCCAACATTGTTTAGAACAGTAATAGATTTTTTTTTGTTTTACCCTTAATAAATCATAAGTGATCTCTTTGTTTGGTTTTAATTATGGAATTGCGCTACCACTGAGGAGTTTTCACTCTTAAACACTAAGCAAATAATCTGGCATAAAAACTAAAGAGGAAAGCAGGTTGGCAATAATTTTGAAAGAGAGTTTTTTTAAAAGCACTTGCAAATTATCAGCTTGAGCCTGATGGTCAGGCAGACCAACAGCTGTGCAGGCAGACCACATCCTAGAACATGAAAAGTGTTGGACATCACTAAACCAGAACTCTGGCAAAGGGGCTAAGATACCATCATTTGCTGCCATGGTAGCTTGTTGGGGGAGATTGATCTTTGCTGTGCTATTGCTGGCCAGAAGATGGTGATGTTACCAGCTCCAAAGGAATCAGATAATAAAAAGGAACCAATAGGATTGTACTATTTAACCAGCAGACTCTGGTTTTGTGCCCCAACCTGCTCAACTTCTGGCTGGGTTGCTAGATGGTAACTTCAGACGTGGAATTTTCATGAACAAGATTCCATACCAGCTCAAGAATCCACACAGCCTT